CCACTTATTTAAAATTTTAAAGAAAAAAGCTAGCAATAATACAAGCCTAGTAAGTCACAGAAAGTCTGGCAAAGGAAAGGTGCTCTCTTTTCCTTGCAGATCCGTGTTACAGAAGCCACAACTCCTGCAACTGCATCATTACTCAGTTCTTGATCAGGTCAGTTGCACAAAGGCTCATTAAATATTTACAGGTGACATTTTTCTGACTTGTGACAACCAGGATCAAGATAACCATCCGTTTTCTACAGCCATTCTGTTCAAATAAGTTTGAAAAGTCAACCAGCAAGAAAAGAACAAGTAGCAACAGAGCCTACAGGATAACAATTGCTAGGTTTTTAACCAGCTACAAATGAAAAATCTTACCCACTGAAAGTCACAGAAAATGGCCATAGCTAGAGAAGGTTTCTTCAACAAACTTAGCACCTCTTTATTAAAGAGTACAGGGCACAAACTTCAGGACTAAGAACACAAAGAATGACCAAGCAATCAATTTCTAATCACCGTAGTTGCTGGAGATTGTTCTGAAATAGCAAAGTATGGTAATGAGCCAATTCTTCATCCGCGACATAAAGTAACAAGCAGAAGAAAGAAACCTCACACACACTAACACACATTTCCCACAAGAGGATGTCTCTGTACAAACCCCGTGAAAGTTGATTTCTGTGTGTGTCGTATGCAAACACATTACTTCCACTACCCAGTACCTGGTAATGCACTAATAAAGCAAATTTCTTGTGTAAATCACAGAATCATAGAATCATTTAGGTTGGAAAAGACCTTTAAGATCATCCAGTCCAACATTAACCTAACATTACCAAGTCCACCACTAAACCAATTAAGGGTAGAGTAGCAACCCCATGCCTCCTGGCTTGGTGGCTGGATCATTTATAATGAAAGTAAAAACTAGGAATCATTAAGATTTGAAAGGATCTCTAAGTTCATCAGTCCGACCATCAACCCAAAACCCCCATACCCACTAAACCATGTCCCCAAGTGCCACGTGTACCTGTTTTTTGAAGACTTCCAGGGATGGTGACTCCACCACCTCTCTGGGCAGCCTGTTCCAATGCTTGGCCACCCTTTCCGTGAAGAAATTTTTCCTAATATCCAATCTAAACCTCTCCTGGCACAGCTTGAGCCCATTTCCTCTCGTCCTATCGCTAACTACTTGGGAGAAGAGACCAACACCCACCTCACTACAGCCTCCTTTCAGGTAGTTGTAGAGAGCGATAAGGTCTCCCCTCAGCCTCCTCTTCTCCAGACTAAACAACCCCAGTTCCCTCAGCCGCTCCTCATAAGGCCTGTGCTCCAGACCCTTCACCAGCCTTGTTGCCCTTCTCTGAACACGCTCCAGCACCTCAATGTCTTTCTTGTATTGAGGGGCCCAAAACTGGACACAGTATTCCAGGTGCAGCCTCACCAGTGCCAAGTACAGGGGGACAATCACCTCCCTGCTCCTGCTGGCCACACTATTCCTGATACAAGCCAGGATGCTGTTGGCCTTCTTGGCCACCTGGGCACACTGCTGGCTCACGTTCAGCCGGCTGTCTACCAAAACCCCCAGGTCCTTTTCGGCCAGGCAGCTTTCCAGCCACTCTTCCCCAAGCCTGTAGCATTGCATGGGGTTGTTGTGACCCAACTGCAGGACCCGGCACTTGGCCTTGTGATGAGATCTAAATGAGATCTAAATGACACTGCTGTGTGGAGCAGCTCACCATCGGCAAGACAGAACAGCCACCAAGTCTTAGTTTGTACGTACAGGCATGCTCAACTACTTGGCAAAAAGGCTTCCACCACAGAAATTTCAGAGTTAAAAATAGAAGGTGTGCTTGAGAATAGTGAAGTTTTCTTCCCACAATCCTCGCATTATATTCCTTTTCTGACATGAATACTCGTGAAAGAAGTGGGATCGCCAGTACTGGAGACAGCCTACTACTAAAACCACATAACTGGCACACTAACAGAAACGCAAGTTCCTTTTACCAGAATATTCCTACCTCTTGTACCCAGGGACTTCTCAAAGCACTAATTCAGCTTTCTTGCCTTTGCAGTTCATGGCCTCTCTGTCTGGGCTTTTACCAGGCTCCCACAGGCACTGCTGGTCTTCACAGCAGAGCTGGGACAGGGCTCAAACACCTACCCCCTTCATGCAGGGCACCGCGCAGTCACCAGGACGCAAGTCTTTTGGCTAGGTTAGAACGCAAGCCAGTACCTGCTGGTAAAAAGCGCTAGTAATTCTGTATCAGTCCAAGCCCTCAGTTATTCTTAATTCATCCTGTTATTCTGTCTGAAGAAATTATGAGTCGTGAAGAGAAGCAAGAGAAGATGCTTCAGCCAAAGAAATCAAGTCCCACTTCACTGAAATAGCCCTCTCATTACCCTCTGCGTTATGTGGGGTTGGGGGAATTGTGTCTGTGTTCCCAAATACAGGTCACACTTCAAATTAAAGTTGAAAATATTCTTCGCTGTATGACACAGGCATAATGCCTACGGTGTCTTCCTCAAACCAGCGTGCTATAGCCACAGAAACAAGCACAGGAGAAGAGAGTTTCCTACACCTTACACCAGACTGACAGAGTGGCCTTGAGCTGCGTTGCAGACCAGAATAGCTCTGTCTCAGGGCTGTTAAGAAAATCTCCAAACACTTGGTTAAAATGCTCTGTCATTTTAAAAAGAAATCATCTCTATTTTTTATCTCTTCCAATCTATCTCCATAAACACATAAAATAAATTCCTTGTTAAGGTCAAACACTTCTAAATGTCCCAGTTGATGCAAGCAATCAGGGTTTGTCTAATCCAGTTTACATAAGAGGTTAACACGGACAAGCAAAAGATGAATGCCATTTACCAAGGAGCAGCGTGGAAAAATACTCATTGCCAAGTTATAAACAAGGTATCACTGTGTTTAACTCAGTAGATACCACTTCCATTTTTTCAAATTTCCTCACAGAGCAATACCTAGCCATAAAATAAACCCAACCGAGATGCTATAGGAATGCTGATTTCACACCTGATTTTCTCATAAACAAAATTACCTACTGATAGATTAACTTTGCCCCACAGCAGCAAAGCAGACATAAGAGGTGAACGCACAACATACCTTTGCCAGTGGTTATTTTTGCTGTAACTATGTCTGTTGCTAATGCAGAATCATTTGTGAAAATCTACCCTAGTGCAAAATTGCGATGAACCCTCAAGATACTGCACTGCTTTTCAGCGTGTTCTCAAACCAGGTACGTGTTGTCTTTGTAGCAGGTCAACCTTTAAAAGTGTACTAGCAACTGTAAATAGAATAACCGGAAAAGCAAGAGAAGTTGAAGTTCTTGAGCAAATATTTTTCTTTGTTGGCACCTAATCCTATACCTTGTGCTAGCCAGCTCTGTCCCCATCCTGAGCCAGGGGCAGAGATCAGCATGAGCCACTCAGCAGGCACTGAGAGTAGTTCTGGAAGTTCTGGCCACTCCATGTGCAGCAGTGAAGGGAATCATCGCTACCACTTCTACTCAGAGTTCGGAGTAGAAAGCCAGTTCCCAAACTCCAAAGCAGACACTATCATAAGCTGTGTTGAGCTCCACCACCACAGCAGAGTGCAAAAAAGGAGGTAACCGCTGAGCAAACAGTGGCTTAGCAGAGTCACTCAAGGCCTCCTAGATACGAAGAAAGCTTAAGACAAACCCCAGCTTTCAGCTAACCAGAAAAATTTGTGCGGACCAAACACAAACTGTATTTGGATCACTACTACAGAAGTGCACCGTCACAACTTCTCCCAGCAGTACAACAGGCTCAGATTGAACAAGAAGTAGTTAAGGGAATTAAAGTCAGAACTTCCTATTTAAAAAGATACCACAATGTCCTGTGGATAACAACTCATTGTAGCTAAGCATTTCCAGTACATCTAACACCTCAGTATGCCAGTGGCAGGGGCTAGCATACTAGTTAAAGCATTCACTTCAACCAGAAATAAACACTGAACTGGAAGAATTAAAGTGTTTGGTAGTACTGACAATGCTCATAGAGAGAAGCATAAACAAGATCATCATTCTGTGGGGGGAAGAGCTGCAAAAACTATAAATAAGCGTGCTCTGTACTGGGCTCAGAGAGAGATGAGATACAAAATCCCACCAGCTTTGAAGGCAGGAAATTGTCACCTCTAACGTTTTTCTTTCCCTGTTCACATCACGCTGTATTACAGTGGGAATTTCACTACTTCTCCACGTAACAGAATGAAACACCTTTTAGTTGTGCAATTTTTTACTAACCATACTAATAATTCTCAGTCTTTCTGACAATAAAAGAAAGTTAAAGCAAAATAAACGCCACTCCCACACTGAGAATCCTGGACCAGGAATGTTTTTCACACGCTGTTGCAGGCCTCTCAAAAGTAACAGCCAAGGCAGTCATTCCTCCAGCTCCTCCTGATGGCAAACGATAGGCATAGCACCCTCACAAGGTACGGGGACGGGAATGTTGATGCCATCATAGAGTCGTCGTATGTCAAATGCTGCAGTCATGAAGGCCTAAGCACACGACCAAAACAGGTTTTGGTGAAAGACAACACCTGATTTGATCAATTGCTATGATCAGTAGAGGGGCAGATGCAAATGCAACAGAAGGCCTTCTCCGGGTCTGTGACAAAGAAACTTCAAGCTGAGCACCAGTTGAGGCCAATGGCTCTGGTTTAAACTTACTGCCTAATTGACTTAGCTAAGGAAAAACTGAGAATGACACCTATAGAACAGAGGAGGGATGTTAACAGTGAGAGGCTGTCAGGCCCTGCAAGACAGAAGAGAGATCGTTAAGGCAGCCAAGGATATAACGTTTGAAAATGGCTGAAGATGCAAAGGGCGACTTCCATTTTTATATTCATCAGCTCAAGATTTAATATAGCTGCCTGGGTTATCTTTTCCCTTATGAAAGAACAAAAAGAAAGAAATCCGAACAATGATGAACACAGAAAAAGCACACATGAAAACAAAACAAAACACACACAGATACCCTACAGATATCAAACACTTTATTTATTTTTTAAAGAAACTACAGCAACATACATGATTACAGAATTATGAAGCATTGTAAAACAAAAGGAATGAAATGGCCTGGGTCCAAGCACTAATGACCTCACACCTTGTCTTTCATACCACCATCACTCAGAAAAATTACATTATCTGAAAAGAAATAAAGAAAATTTAATCTTCAGGATTGTTTTGCCCTTTTGCAAGCCCGCACACCCACAAAGACAACCTATTTTTGTTAAAATAACCTGCAAAGACATGTATTTCAGAACAGAACAGTTCATAAAATAAAACAGCGTCTGATGCGGGGCTCTTGCTCTATCTCCCCAGAAGGCTGACAATTCAAGGCGACCATATATACTATGAAACAAGTGTGCTGAACCTGATGATCACAGTCAAAGATACCAGAAACATTTTAAAATAATGGTTTCATTCTTTGACTACGATCTCTATCAGTTACAGCTTATTTCCTTTTTATTTTGTCATGTTCAGAATGCACTACCATTTCATCAGTCTATGGGACTATAGGAAGCTTGTATTTCATCAAGCCTCAGTAGTTTCTGAAGCATCTTGAGACTAGGGATATTGACCACAAAGAAGAAACCATTAGGTTAAATACTAATTAAAAAAAGAGACTTGCTTCTCCCTTCCAGCTATTTATAAACAGCCACCTACAACACTGCTAGCTGAACTATTCATGTGAAAGTTTGATTACAGTTGTTTTTAAAGAGGCTGCACAGCAGAAATATCCAGAATTGTGGTTGGTATTTTTCCTTCTCCTCTGGCCCAGTTTTTTTTAGATATACTTGTATAACAGAAATGTTTGCTCTACTACCCAATTATTTTAGCCCTCCCTCAAAAGCCACGAGATAGCGGCTCTACCCACAGTAAAGATGTAGGATGCTCACATTATTTATTTAAAGGCTCAAGGAAAAAGTTGAGTTTTCCAGTTCTCTTCTTCATTGTGTCTACCCAAGGGACAAGCCTACTCCCTATCCATTCTGTGCTCTTCTTACCATTACTGGCTACCAGACTCAGGTCTTTCTAAATTCTCCATCAAGTTATCCCCAGGTAAAACACCTTTCACAGAGGTCCTTAAAGTTGGTGAAGCCTCCAGTGTTAAACAGGAAGAAAAAATTCCCTGTCAAACCAAGACAAAGCTACTAAACAAACTCTGCTTAGAAGAAGAATCTGCCTGACCGGCAGTACTACATACCAGTGTTCTTAAAACGCATAGTATCTACCTGCTGCACCAACTGGTTTGTGTGAACAAACTATGCAACGCTTTGCAACTATATGCTCTCATTTTCTGTGTCTTCACAAGCAGTGCCAGAGGACATCAAGTAGTACAGCCTATTCATTCTCTCAGAATCCCCAAGAGTGGATTCTGAGGATGAAGACAAACCAAGCTCTATTTCAAAGGTCCTCCACCTCCTCTCCATTTTAAAAGGGCAAAGTAGGCATCGCTATGTTGCTCCTTACCTGCTATAATTGTTGTGGCCTGCCGCCTCACATTGTTTTTATCTGTGTATTCACCATAGTCTATCTTCCCTTCAACATAGAGTCGAGAGCTGAAAGAATTAAGAATTTGGTTCTTGTCAGAGAACTGTACAGCTGTTTTCTCCTCTATATCTGATTCTGAATACACAGGCTTTTGCCTCACTTGTAGTATGTCTACTAACTTATTTTATGGCACTTCTTTCTATCTCAGTATAGCTCCTGGTCACCGTAATTATTACATCGATCGATTATTAAGGCATTAAATCCTCACCATATTTGTTATTCACTTACCCCTTCTTCACATACTGATATGTAACATCCCTGAGGCCTGGTCTGAAGACAGAGATCCTGTGCCATGTCGTCTTCTGACTGATATCACCTAAGTTACATAAAAATAACAAAGTTGGATGCCAGAACCTCTTTTTGATGCAAGCCTCAGAAATTAGTTTCAACGTATTGGTGTTCTCAAATTATGAAAAGTGATGTGAAAATGGAAGTATACTAGCACTCGATCTCCCACTCCATACTAGAACTCAGCGTTCCACTCATCTGTGTCCAAATGAAAGTATCATGCAGAAGCACAGTTCAAACCAAGGGATCAGTTTTCCTGGAAGTCAGTGCTCATCCTAGAAGAATTTTTTTTCCCCTCACACACTCTGCATTGAACAAAAGTTAGAGAGAAAGAGACATCTATAGCTGCAGACTGATAGAAGAATCAAAGAGAGAATGCCTTTTTTTTTTTCCCCCTCCTGGAATACAAATTAGAGTATGGAACCTACTACACCTCTGGCAACCCCAACACTGAAAAACTGCCAACTCAGTGCTCTTTCATGCAGATCTTTATTCAATACATGCTGCTGGGCATCAGTAAGAGACAAAAATGCACTAGCATTTCTACTGACCTCAAAGGAACCTCCCTGCACCTGAGAGATTTACATGGCAGCCTGAAGACAAAGCGTGATGCTACTGAATATGCAAACACCACCTCAGAACACAGCAGAAGGACGTTGCTCATTGCAGACTCACCTCCCTGGGTTACCTCACTTTCCCCTGTTCGCCACATCTCGTTGGTTGCAAGAGAAAATATGGTAACGGGATTCTTTCCTTCCACTTGCCTCATGATAGGGTCCTGTCCAACCCGACCAAGTAACTGAACACGATTCATGGCTGAAAACGCGAGAGAGTAAATGCATATACAGGTGAATGACGATTCTTCTAATCATGGCAAGTTGTAAGTCGGCAGCATTTGTCAAGGGCCAGAACAATGACTTTCTGTGCCTCCTAACCATTTTTCAAGCTCTTGTGACTTTTGGCTTATTTAGGCCCTGCAGATGGCTGACTGTGCCTGTACTATCATTACCACTGCTGAATAAGCTCATTTAGAAAGCTAAAGGTTCTTTATTCTTTCTGTTCCTTTGTCATCTTTTTCACAGATACATCCATATGTCACTTGAAACTATTTTACATTTATTTATCTTGACTTTTTTTCATTATGATAAAACCATATCATTGCATAGTTTTGTCCTTAAAACAATACTTTTAAAACAACAAAGATGCATTATCACAGCCTATCCTCTGAATAAGAGGGTCACTAGTTTTTACACAGGTACCAGGACTGGATGGACACAATTTATTCGTTCTCCTTGGTGAAGGACAACTGGAGGGGATCAGGGGCGGGGCGGGGGGGGAAGAGCATCACTCTTGCACAACGAGCACGTGAACTGAATGGTAAAGTCTGAAGCATACACCTGGAGCAAATCATGCTGGGGCAGCAGCAGCAGCACCCAAACAAGTCCCCCAGGCACATGGGAGCCTGAGAAACAAGCAGGAGACACCTAAATGTAGGGATTAGAAAACATTACAATAGCATACTTTGCTGCCACTGATAAAGCAGGACTACCTGCCTTTTACAGGTTGTACTTGGTGTCAGGACTTTTTTCTTTTCCCCCTTAAGGGCTGCTTGACTTGACAAAGACCAGATAGGAAGCTACTTAAGAGCCTGTTTGTTTGAAACAACACATTCTTGGTTACTGCATTCAGGAGCTACCATTCCTAACTGTTCCTCTCCTGGCATATTTCAGCCATTCTAAAACCAAGATAAAAACCACAAAGAGTAACAGCTAAGTTTCATCTCAGAAGCTACTTACATCTTTCGAGTACCAATGAGCCAACTGTATCAGACTCATGTCTTACAAACTGGCGAAGCACCTGAAGGAACAGACAGATGTTAGCTTCCAAGACACAAAGTATGAACAGTATTCACGTGCTTTTACACTTTGTCTTCTGAACACTTACAGAGGTTTTGCAAGTACGTTCTTTTCTGGTGAATTGGGGGACTGAGGGAAGAAATCCGTTCAGCTAAATGAAGCCAACAGGATTATTCAAAGAATATTTGGTTAAACTGGGGTTAAAAAGCTGCCTAGGAAAAAGAATGGCCCAAAAGTACATCTCCAGCAATTATTTTTGGGACGTGCAGTAACTACTGTTCTTCTGTAATACGTAATGGAGGGGGGTGGTTGAAATGGAGGGGTTGTTCAAGTTGGTTGAGCTTTGGTTTTTGGAAACAAACACAGTCTTGATAGTTTCATCAGCTTTCTGCTTCACTTCAGAGTGAATCTTGTTAAAAAAACAGATGTACCCAAAATGTATATCTATCCACCGCTGTAAGCAGTGTGATGCACTGACAACCCTTCATTCCCAAGCAAACGGCAAATCAAGGCCACAAAAACCTGATTGCTGCAGCTAAACACAAGTGAGAAAAGAACAGACTTGATGCTAGCAAATATCATGTCCTAGAAGAAAGGAAAAGCCCAGGAACACCTCTGCAAGAGGCCCATGCACAGGAACTGGAAGAAAAGCTCATCTCCTACAAGAAGTGGTTGCAAAACCTAAAAGGAAGGTGAGACTGACAGTCCTGTGTTGAACAGAGGAGAAAACCCAGAGGAAACACAACTTGCAAAACAGCAGTTCCTTGGTATGTCTGGGTGGTTCACTGATGTATATGTAAATCATCTAGGACTCATTCCATACATAAGCCGGACCTTTTAATACACCATTTTTTCAGCACTGCGGTAAAGACACCAGCAGCAGCAGCTGGTTGGTGTAGAAAACACCGCTGGCAGGCAGCACAGCTCAGCAGAGGCTCTGCGAGCACCCCATCGGGCAGCGGAGCACTCCTCTGGCCCTTGCAGCCCAGGCCGCACAGGCAAGCGGCAGCTTCCAGACCCTCGGCTGTCCCTGCACCTCATAACACTGTAACCGGGGGTGGCAGTGAAAACTCACTTAGAACAACAACATTGAGGTGCTGGAGCGTGTCCAGAGAAGGGCAACGAAGCCGGTGAAGGGTCTGGAGCACAGGCCTTATGAGGAGCAGCTGAGGGAACTGGGGTTGTTTAGTCTGGAGAAGAGGAGGCTGAGGGGAGACCTTATTGCTCTCTACAACTACCTGAAAGGAGGTTGTAGTGAGGTGGGTGTTGGTCTCTTCTCCCAAGTAGTTAGCAATAGGACGAAAGGAAATGGGCTCAAGCTGCGCCAGAGGAGGTTTAGGTTGGATATTAGGAAAAATTTCTTCATGGAAAGAGTAGTCAAGCATTGGAACAGGCTGCCCAGAGAGGTGGTGGAATCATCATCCCTGGAAGTCTTCAAAAAACAGGTACACGTGGCACTTTGTGACACGGTTTAGTGGACATGGTGGTGTTGGGTTGATGGTTG